CCCCCCGGTAAATGCCCCCTTCCATCCCTGCTCCGAGTGGTGTCTTTTCCCCGTTGTAGTTCCCCAGTAATTCTGTATACCAAGTTTTGTTGAAATGAAATTGCTACTGCATTGAAAAGTTAAGCTGGTACACAAAAACATACATAATCACATCCATTTTTTGAAAATTAATATGTTTGTGACGTAATGTTTACACTGTCGGTGAAATAAATAAATATTTTTGCACACGTTTTTGAGAAATGAAAAATATTGTTGTTTTGGAAACCTGTAGCTCATTTGGTAGTTGTTTCCCAAATAAATGTTTAATGTAAAAGTATGAAATCTTATCCTCCTTAAAATTGATTGAAATAATTTTCTACGGGACTTTAAGTTGAAGAGTTACAGAGAAAAACCTGAAAAAAGGCAGAAAAAAACAGAGTTATCACAGGGTCTGGGAGGTCAAAAAATGGGGGTTTTAACTAATGCCTGAATACATACAACATATCCAAAGAAAAAGTTGTTATGACCTTTTATGACAAAATGCACATGCCTATTGGGCTACACATACTTTAACAATAATGGCACTCAAGAAGATAAAGTAAAACAATATGTGTCGTAGTCCTCAGGGGATGAACCAATACCTCTCAAATCCGTCAAGTGAACACATACCCAGAGGATACACATAATTTCATACAGAAGTTTCGCGGAATTATAAATTGTATGGAATGAAGGATTTACTAAATGATGCTTTCTATGGGGCAACTAATGATAGAAAATTTAAAGAAAATTGCAAAAAAAACCTTTACACAAGGTCAAATAGAAGAAGGTTCGAAAGATGGGCAAGGCACTGGTCCGATCTTTGCACTTGCCTGCTTTTCCTTAGGGGACAAGTGCTATACTGATCTTGTCACGTGTTTGCTGTACGTGTGCCATCACTGTATTACATGGCAAATTACAAATTATCCCCTTCATTTATTTACTCTAACTTCGAGACAATCATAGAAGATTTCTGTTACTGGAAAGCCACTACTTTTGCTTGTCACAAGGGCATAATGTTGTCAGAAGACTCCCAAACATGATGCGCATTGAAGATTGGAATAATTTATACATGATCTGTACTACAAATTAAAGGAAAACAATGTACTTTGTAGTTAAAAACTCAAACTGACTTAATAATAATAATAATAATAATAATAATAATAATAATAATAATAATAATTTAGATATCATACCATCAAGAATTCTTTCTGTTTGCACCTCAGCCTCTGGCATGACTGACCAAGGGCCACAAGTACACCATGTCTGTTATGATGCATTAATTCTTCAAAATTTGGAAGCAATTCTTCAAATATTTCCTCAAACTATAACAGAAGTATTATATACATTACTCATCTTACAAGATACATCCATGAAGTAATGTATCTTTGCTCCTGTGAATAAGTTGATAAGTTGTAAAAACTTAAGGTTTACAGAAGAGCCTGTTATTATTTGTACCTTAAAACTTCAACAAACAGATCATTCAACTTATTTGATGTTAATCAATGATCTCATAACAGTATTGGAGTGTGACTAATTAGACAATCCAACTTATTATAGTTTATAACTATATGAAATTTACATTACATAAATTCACATACTTAGCAACTAGAAGGAAATTAATACATCTGATTATACAAAAATGACCAGAATGATAAGGAGAAACCAGGAGCACACTAATCACATTTTCAACACATAAATTGATTCATCAAGTTATTCATCAGGTTCAAAGATGTATATATAATAATTGATTTTACATACTTCATCTATAGTTTTGCAATGTTTTATCAAACTTTGCACACAGAAATTTGCATCAGGTGCCAAAGAAAGAGGCTGCAACTTAAATTTGAAACAGCGGATATAAATTTTCCTGAAAGTTTTTCTCTTTGCAACGCTTATCATTACTTCCATGAGACGAGCTGCTGCCTGACTCTCATTTAGAATGCAGTAGTCCAACAAGTGACGTATTATCTTGGTACAAAGTTGGCTATCAACTTTACGTACTGCAAGAAGTATTGTTTGTAGCAATCCAGACACCAAATTTGTATTCACATAATCTGAAATAAACGTGAGAGGTAATTAAAGCAATACCCTCTTAAAACACAAAATAAATGTGTAAAGGCAATTAGAACAATGTCGTCTTAATTTAGTACAATATAACATAGCCTTCTGATAGATCTTTTTTCTCTAGTCATTATGGTTGATATGATCAAAATTTCCTCAAGAGGATAATTGGTGACAATCTACATAAGATCATTGCTATAGGTCTCTACACCATATTGTAGTAAACCATCACGCTGCATAGCCGGAAGCATACATTTATTAGGCATGTTTGTTAGTTGCAATGCTCATGAGCACTAACACCATGGTGGCACTGTACTGCCCCTTAACCGCCTATTTTCTCGGCTAACTGGTACCCTCCTCCCCTCTTGCCTGGTGAGTGAATCCCTTTCTGAAGCAGGCTAGCAATCTATAGCACACCACAATGAAACACATACCAACAAGTATGAAAGGTACATTGCCAGATAGACCTATGTGATATTCAGGTAATGTGAAGGTACTTTTGACTCGGAATGTCCTCAGAGGAGCAATAGGAACCTCTAGAGAACCCGGTATGTGTTTTACGCCAAAATAGATAGCAGCTGGAATGATGATGGGGTGAAAACATAAAGCAAACCTTGATTCTAGAGGACACAAAAGTAACTGCAGTAGAACCCCGCCAACCTAAAACCTGCAAATCCGAAATTTCAAATAATTCAAACAAAATTTGGGACAGAGGAAAATGTAAACAAAATAAATAAAATGCATAATTGTAGGGTGAAGAAAGGATTTCATAATTACTGTAGAACTGAACAACTAACCATTGAAACACAAGTTGATATTTGATCCAAAATTGACATTCCTCAGTTGATTTCAATGAACTTCAGGTCCAGCAAGTTTGAAACTGATATTATGATTTTTGGGAGTACATGATTTTTTACATGAAAGATCAAGAAAATTGCCTCAAAAATGGCTCCTAAATTACTCAATAAACTTTGTCCTCGGATAGAACGGACAAAAGTCAGTTCATTTTTGAAAATTGCAGAAGTTCAAATAGTTTGCGACAGAAAGAAAATCTCTCAACACTGAAGGGAATCAGGTCGCATGAGAATGCAAATTCAATGCCTGAAACTTTCAGAAGAGTCTAAAATGTCAGAGGACTACAATGTATTGGAGGACGACCAAAAAGAAAGAAACAATGGTACATGCAAAGAAGAAGAAAAGCAAGAAGAGAGGAAAAGGAGGAGAGAAGAAGGGGAAGGAGAAGAGGATGAGGGGGCAGAAGGGGAGGAGAGAATGAAGTGCGAAGGATGAGAGAAGGAGGAGACAAGGGGGAGAGAAGTAAAGGAGAGGATAGAACGAGGAGAGGAGGAGAGACAGAGGAGAAGGGACAAAGAAGGAGAAAAGGAGGGAGAGGATAAGAAGTAGGAGGTGAAGGGGAAGGAGGAGGAAGGGAAGCAGGATTTTTTTGTAAGTATTGGATAGCCTCAACTTATTTAAATCTGTTTTAAGAATTATCAGTTACAGTTTGATAAAAATTTGTGCAATTGTTGTTGAATTTATTGAAAAGAAAAAAAAACACTTTCTTAAAAGAAGAAAAACTTATAATTAGAGTGCATCTAATGGCAGTTGCATCTTCAACTAGTACAATGTTTTTTGTTCTTTTTCTTGTTCTAATGCATGTGGGGAACAGTTAAGGCAGCTGAACTTATGTTTATATTTGAACACTTAAGTATTGTCTACACTTATTTATCATTATTGTATTGATCTTCCAATATAGTTCATTTGAAATGTATCTTTCTGAATATAATATTTAGCTCCAATACAGACAAATGGGATGACTTTAGACCGCAGAGGATGGGTTTGCACCATTTTCACGAATGTTAAATTAAATGTAGGTGTTTGTATTTTCAGTTGCTTAAACCACAAGCAGCTTCTAGGACACTGAACACACCAAACAGCAACACCAGTCTACTTGTGCTTTTCATTATTACGGCTTGAGCAGACAAGAAAATATTTCAATTTTGGACATGCTTTTTATTGGCATACCAACTCTCACAATTATTTGACGCACATGATCATCATCAATACCGTCAATTTAGGAGAGGTGTTTCTGTCCTGATACCATCTAGTTGTCGATCTGCCTCTTGCCATTCAGCCTATAATTTAACTCATACTACTCAACATAAAAACTTCAATTTATTTGAACTGTTTATTGTTCTCAATCACAATTTTAAAATGGGGATTGCTTTGTACCAGGGAGAACACAATTACCAGATGTGCTATAAAGCCACTCTGCTGTCCTTTTACAAACAAACAATGTAATTTATTGCTTAATAAAATAATTCAGAATTATCATTTACAATGCGAGAACTTATCATTCGGCTGATGGCAGGAGATATCAGAGACATTCTGATAAAAAATTACTTGAATGTATTGAAGATATATAACAGATAAATGTTTCAAAGAAAAGGCTGGAGCTCTTTACAAAATTTTATTATCTACCATAAGAAATAGCTTGCAAAGTTAACTGTGGTACCACATTGGTGGTCAGAAAGTGTTTAGTAATAAGGAAGAAGAGGTATTCATTAACTATCATGCAACTGAGTTAGGATTTCTTGTTGTAAAGACAATTTCTGTTTTACTGTGAAAAACTGTATAAAGATCATGCTTAAAAGAAAGCTTTTTATATATTCACGTGCGCACGCACTCACAGGCTCATCCACTCTTGTGCACCCCCCCCCACACACACACACACACATTGACACACAAGTTTTTAAGTGGTTTTTTAAAAAAAGTGTTTAAAGAAAATAAAAGTTGACCGTTTCAAAAAAAA